CCCCCGGGCCCTGCTCCATCACCTCCACCTCCCCCTCCCCCTCCCCCGGGCCCTGCGCCATCACCTCTGTCATCACCGTCGCCTCTGTCATCGCCTCAGCGTCACCTCTATCATCACCCGTGGATGCATGTGTTCCCGACGCAAAGAAATCGTCGTCGTCGTTGGATGTGCTGTCGAACAAGAAGTCACCCTCGTCCCAATGCATGCGGGCCCTGCGAATGCCACCATCCGTCCGCTGTCGCCGAGTCCGAGGAGCGTAACCCGCATCGCCACGTATACGTCCTCCGACACCTGCTCGTCCACGACCGCCACGTCCCCGACCACCAGCCCTGCGTCGCCTCCTGTCCGACTCCGCCACCCGACGCTCGGCTCCCATGCGGGAAATGGCGCGCATCCTCTCTCTGGCGAGGCTCAACTCCTCCTCGGTCACCTTCGCCAGAACACCGGTGCCTCTGACGAGCTGCTGGTCCACAGCTGCCTCGTCCTCCATGGCCTGCCAATAATGCACCCATTTCCCGAAGACGCCGGGCCTCTCTCCAACACCATCGTCGCACAACGAAGGTCCATCGAGTAGCCTGAGGTTCCAGTGGCACCGCACAAGCTTCTCAGCCCGGGGAACCTCCAACCTGTTGCGAGACTTCGAATGAATGAAGCTCCAACGAGACCACGCTCTCTCGCACGGTGAGGCGGTCGCCCATATACGAAGGATCCTACCTGCAAACACGGCCGTGTGAGGGAACTTCGCCTTCTTTGAGGACCAAAAACTGGCAGGGTGATCAAAGATATCCGCAACTCGCCGCATGGTGAGCTCATCGAAAGGGGGCTCCCTCGTGTGGAGCTTGGCGACCGCTCGTTGGACCTCCCGGTGCTGCGGCGAATCCTCCGGGTAGACGAACTGGACAAGGGCCTTGACCAAGGCCTGCTGCACCTCCGCATCGTCACAAATCGTCGCGTCCCGGAACTCTGGATCTAGCAGCATGGCTGCCGTGTGGGCGGGGGTCTTGAACATGGTGCGTCGCCTGTGGAACACCTCCACAATAGCGTCCTGCTGCTCCCGATCAATGTCACGACATGCGGACAAACAAGATGCAATCATTTCTTCGTAACGTCGCAGAATCTTGCTGATCTGGCATGTGTCGCTGTCCACCAACTTCAGCATGCCCATAATGGGCTCTAGCATCTTGCACAGAGCTCTCAAATCCTCCCACCATGGAGGGGAGCCGATACATGCAGTGACCTCCGCTGCATTCTTGCAGATCTTGCTGGTCGACCAAACAGTCTCGCGCCAGCGATCGTCGGCCACAACATCTGTCAACGCGTCCCGCAGTGCCACCAGCCTCTCCATCATGATGACGTTCGTGCCGAAACGCGTCTCCGCCGGTAGCAGAAGAGTCTCCGCCGAGTGCGCCTCAAGAAGCTCTCTCGCATGTCCATGGCGCTTGAAGAACCTTGTAACTAGCCTCGCTTGAGAAATGCGGGAAGCCACCCAATCAATCCCGCCGATGTCCTCGAGAATGAGATCCATGATGTGGGCGACGCAAGGAATCCAGAAGATGTGTTTCACGCTCTTATCTTTTTGGAATACCTCCATCGCCGTGACGTTCACTCCGGCGGAGTCCGTCACGAACGCCGTGATGTCGCTCAATTGAACGTCCATGGACTTCACCCTTTTCAACCATGCGTTCGCGAGGGCACTGACGTCCTTTTTGCCACGCATGACGTCGGTGGACACATACACCACCCCGATCTCTGTACCAACAAGGTAGTTGCACAACGTCTGACCACGGATGTTGGTCCAACCATCGGTCATGATTGTGCAACCGGTCTCTCTCGACGTGTCAAGCACCGGCCGAACACACTTCTGGACCTCACCATCCAGCTCGTCCAAAAGGGTCGTGCGCAGCATGTGGTACGAGGGAAGTCTAGGCGCGGGTGCCCCTGGAACCCCCGACGGGATTATCATTGTGAACATGCGTTTGAAGCTTTCAAGCTTCGTGCTGTTGAACGGCATCCCGCTCTCGATGATGAACCGCATGATTTGCAGATGCCATGCGCGCTTCAAAGGGTCCGAATAATATGACGTGACGGTTTGCTTCCTGTAAGTGCCCCTACATCGTCCCGTCGTAGCTCTCCCGCCAAGGACCCCAACATCCAACAACCCGCCAGGGCTCACAGGTGTCGCGCTCTGGGCGACTGCAAGGTCACGAATGCGCTGCAAAGGGTCTAACGTTCCGGTCAATACGGATGGAGGCTGTGGGCTGGACCGACCTCCGCCCGTGGTTGTCGGAACAGGGGTCCGCGATGAATCGGACACCGGAGCGGGGACCTCCTCGACAGGCACCCCATGATCCACCTGTTCCCCGAAACGAGGCACGGAAGCAGAATGTCAAGCATCTGCAGGTGCGTGTGACGGATCCGGGTGGGCGGTTCCGTGAGCGTGGTGGACCATTGGACGCTGCGCCGCTCTCGACGGTGGTGGTGGCAGCCAGGGGTGCTCCGACAAATTGCGGGGTGATGCGCCAGGTGCCACCGCAGTACCACCCCGTGCGGTATCTGACTGCCTAGCACTCCTGAAAACAGGGGCGAGCGAGGGCGCTGAACTGTCGACACTCCCCCCCCACCTGCGACTCTCAATAAATGCACGTGTGCTCTCCTCGTCAAATGCCGTAGAGGCCACACCATCCCTCAGAGGCGTGGGCTCGTTGGCTGGCGTGGAACGACCAACTCCCATATCGCGAGCACCTCGTGTCCCAGCCAGCGGCGCATACGGCGGGGCTGCCGGTCGTGTTGCAACTGTTGTTGCAGGACGCGGTACCGGAGCCCCAGAATTGGGCGATGCGACGGCTCCAGAAGGGGCGGTGGGAGAAACCAGCGGCGGCACTGCGTCCTCGAGAAATCGAAGAGGTGGCCACTGCAAGCTCGGATGACCTGGCAAGCAACTCTGCAACGTTTCAATGGCCGACGCGAACTCCTTTGGACATTTTGTCATGTCCTTCGACCAGATCGCATTCCACACAGCAGGAGTGGCTGCCTCACATCGAAACTTCTCGCTCTTCGAGAAGTGCTCCCTGGCGGCTTTAGCGCCCCCACAAATCGAACGCCCGCACAACCTGCACAGGCATCGACGACCGCTCTTCCTGCCCGCCGCCGTCGACCCATCAAATAACGCCCTCTGGCCACGAAATGCCACACCGGGTCGTCCCACTTGCCGTCGACTGTCGGGTCGACCTTGAACGGCGAGTCAAACGTCTTCGTGTTATGACCTTGTCGGACGGTCGTGAGCGAGTCTGACGGATCCTTCCCCCGGTCCTGCGACATGATGAAAGTCGCCAACCGCGAAAAAAAAAGACGATGTCGGAACCCTCTGAGAATGTTGCCAACTCGCAACAGAGATCGAAGTCGGCGTCAGAGCGGCAAAGAAATGCTATGAAACAGGCAAAAACGATGAACGCAAAGTGCAGAACACCTGGACATCAGAGGGAAAACACAAGACGACATGAAACAAAAAAACAAACAACCAAAGAACAACAAAAAAAACTCAGAACTCGGAGGCAAAAAAAAAAAAACGCCGATGTTCTCTGTCCCTTGTCAAAAAAACGACAATGTTCTCCACAAGGCAACCGTTCCACAGGCGGAACTTCCGATTCCAGGAAGGCGATCCCACTAGCCACGTATGTGGAATAGTGTGACTGGTGTGGGACGGCTGGGGGACAGGCGGGTGGTAGAGGAAAAGAGGGAAAATAAACGAAAAAAAAAAAGGGCAAGATTAACTCCACACACCGTTTGCTAACTCCACACACTTACAAAAGAGAGAGAGAGAGAGAGAGAGAGAGAGAGGCCACCAGCTTCCTGCCCCAAGGCTGAAAAGGCCACCCTAAGGCTATCAGGCCACCCCGGGCTATCAGGCCACCCTGGGCTTTCAGGCCACCCTAAGGCTATCAGGCCACCCTGGGCTCTCAGGCCACCCTTGGCTGAAAAGGCTATCACAGCCTATCAGGCCACCCTAAGGCTATCAGGCCACTTTGTATTTTCCGAAAAACCATAAA